TATGAATCAAATTATCTTATTAATCACTACAAACTCCTCTTGTTAAAAACCTGAGATTACCCAATTAGCTTATCATCATTACACAATTATCCCTTACATACAGAAATTTGCATATTTGCCCTTATCTTAAGAACAGATGAAACAGGAAACAACTTAGCATTTTATCTATAAATTCATACTGAGAACAAGAATCCAAGTTCCATAAATTTCTTAAGATTACATTTCTATGCATGTCTCAGAAAGATGGCAGAGAATACCAATTTGAGAAATGCTGGTGACACAGACAAAAATTCTGGCTGGCAAAATGTCTAGCATTTGAGAGGATTTCCATAAACATTTTGTAGGCCTCGAGTTCTCTGAGTCTCAGACAGTTCTCACTTTCTCCCCTGACAACTTTCTAGTCAGAACTTACTTTCTAACAAGCTAAGGTGAGCATGAAGCTGAGATAAAGAACTTTTCACTGTCTCACAATTTATTAGCACTTAAGAAATGTATTTTATTGCACATTCTACTACTGGTCACTGGTGCTTGTGTCTCAAATGCATTGCTTTATTTTCTCCATTAAAACTAAAGACTATTTCAGGCACAGTGGTCCACTCGCTCAGGAGTGACTCTATCCCCCAGAGGACATCTGGCAACGTCTGGAGACGGTGCTGGCTGTCACACTGTGGGGAGGATGTTAGCATCTCGTGGTCAGAGGCGAGGGATGCTGAACATCCTGCGATGAACAAGACAAAGACAGCCTCCTAAAACAGAGTTATCCAGCCCCAAACGGCAACAGCGCCGAGAAGGAGGAACCCTATTTTAGCAACGTATAAACAAGAATAAAGTCCAGAACAACGATGGCCAACTTACTAAACAAGCTGTACACGGTGATTCTTAGAAATCTGACTACAGAGGTCATGATCAGAATGCAAAAATATAGTAATAACAGAAATATAAATAGATAAAACTTGTATAATAATTTATTAATTTAATTTCAAATAATAATTTTATAAATAAATATAAAAGTATTTGAAAGCCTATCACTAGATTTTTTTGCTTCTATATAATATCCCTGTAATGCTTAAGTCTTGATGCCAGTTCCTCAGGTAAGTCTATTTTATATATTTTTTTTTCCTTTTTCATTTTTAAAAGACTCTTTAAATCACATGAAAGAGAATGTACCACAACTACAGGAATCACAAAACAAAACCAAGACCTCTAAACTCACCGCTAAGCCCATGAGCATGTTTTCACCCACTGAGATCTGGATTCTCAGTCCAAATAAAGCGTTCATTCCTTTGAGTTTCAGCTTATTCATCAGCTGAGTGTGCACTTCATACTCCATAAATGGCAGCAGATTACTGATAGCTGTGGCATTTGCTTCTGCCTGTGCTTTCTTTTTTAAGCGACACAACCTGTTAAGGAAAACATTTCATCAGTGGACGGTGTTCTTGGTACAACCTTAAGAAATATCCAATTTTTAAAATTTTCTAAAAGTCCTGTTTCAATAAACAAAAAGGAGAAATCTCAAATGAAATAAACACAGATCAAAAGCACTAGAGAATATAATTTTAAATCTTAGGTTTCATAATTCCATGTGATCATATGATGGGTGGATAGCAGAAGGAAAAAGCTAATTTACTCATTTAAAGAATAAAAACCTTAACTTGAGTATCTT